TTTAGAAATGGAAAATTTCCCACAGAAAAATAAAGTACTGGAAGTTTTTTTTCTGAGGAAGTTTTTCCACCCCACATCTCTGGGTGTGTGAACACCTTCACATGTGCTAATATTATACACCACACTTAAAAGGCTCTCACAGCACCCTAATGGCACCACACCACCCTGGTTGAGAATCACCAACTTGACCACTCTTATTTTCTAGGCATGAATTAATGGAATTCATTTCTAATGCTATCAGATAGCATTACCAGCTCTAGATAACATTACCATTTCTTTCCTTCATAGCTATCTATTGAAAAAGATCTCTGAAATGAGACCTTGTACTGCTAGCATTCAATTCTCAGCCCAGGCCCATATGAGACTAGCTTCACACTGTACTTAAACATTGGGGGGGAAAAAAAAAGAACTAAAATACTCCAAAAACATGACAGGACACTTGTTTCAGTCTTCTCTTTGTATAGGGACCTCACGAGAAAAACTGTCTAGGAAGATATACAAATTCATTTCCCTCTATTTTAAAGCTGGTACTACTATTCCTATTCTCCCGGATACCTTGAAGAGCTAGTAACAATAATGATCATAGCTAACAGGGAAAAAAAAGGTGTCATAGATATGCATACAGGCTCCTGACACTGAAGGAAGGGGCCTAGTTTCTGATAAGACTGTTGGGAGTCATTCACAGAGCTCTGAGGTGAGAGAAGAAAAATATTAATTTATTTTTGCATTCTGCATTTTTTTTTTGTTTTACTACATGGAATGCTTCAACCTGCAAATAACATAATTTTGCTACTATAGCATCTAGCAGGAGTCAGGACTGTAAACTGACTTTTCCAAAGATTCTGAACAATTTCAGCTTTAAACAGAATTTTCAAAGTAACATTAAGACAGTCAGGACCCAATTTATGTAAACAAGAGACCAAGTTTTTTTTTGGCAATATCTTATTGGACCAAGTATATAGCTGGAAGAGATGACGGACAAACTTTCAGGTCCTGAAGAAGTTACTTTATGCCAGAATGCTTGTCCAACATCTTCCCTAACTATTCAGTTATTCCAATAAGAGATTAACTGAAAAACCGCTTGCCTCATACATTTCATAAACCATCATAGTTACAGAGATGCTCCAAACCCATGCCCAAACAAGGCTAATTTAAGGCCAGAGCCCCATGTAGCTGCATGGAAACAGATTTGTACTGGACTATTACTATCAGTAAGAAGCTTTTCAAACATGGAATTTTTATACTGAGATGAACCACAGTTGCAATATACTGTTCACCCATGTCAGCAATTACCAATGAAATTATGTAGAGGCACTTCAGATATCATATACCACTTCATAAATGTCAAGGGTGGTTTGCTGCTATGTGAGAGTTTCCACGCCTAAGAGAGAGGGCTGAGGCATGCCTGCAAGGAAAACTGCCTGAAAAGGGCCTGTACAGTGTGGCAACCAGATTTCAAGACAATGATTTAGCCCAGTAAGAAATTCTGAGTCTAAGCTGTAGGGAAAATAGGCCCATTTATCTCGGTAATGACTCCACATGGAATCTGGACTGGTACACACATTTAGGCCTTATAATACAGAAGCCAAGGTAGCTCAATAGAAATAAGTGGTGGGCCAAAATGACACCTTGATGCATGCTTTTTGTTCTGCTTGTGGGCTGCTATCCCTCTTTTCATTACCTGGTCCATTAATAAATGGAGGAGTTGGAGGTGGTGGTGAGGCATGGCAGCAGGCAGCAGATACTCGTAATGATAGTCTGAGACTTCCCCAGCATTTTAGGTCTAGCAGAAAATCACTGTCCCTTTATTGCATCTCTCTAGAGACCATGAAGAAGGGTGTATATTTATAAGATTATTTAGGAAAGTAGAAGACCTAACTGTTGTTTCATAGTGCTCTACATGAAAGACTATTTTTGTTGTTTGTCTTTATATACATTTTATTTTTTCATTTTTAAACTCTGATTTGGAGACTCAGCCTTCCCTAAAGAAGAAACATTTCCTTTGTGTGGCGGTTTGTGCATGTCCACATATGCACATAGCCAGAAGAATCAGCACATGTCTATGCTCTGGTCTTTTCTGCATGCTATACTCCACCCTACAAAGGTGAAATAGTTAGCTGTGTTAATCTGAAGTCAGGCAGAAGACAGGACATGGTGGCATTTTAGAGACTAACTGGTTCAAAGACAACCATTGCTTACAATAGCTTATGTTTTGCTGAACAAGCCAGTCTCTAAGGTGTCACCCTAGCTGCCTTCCCCATGGAAGTGATTAAGACCTGAGCACAGAGGATTATCAACTATGCTATACTCTGAACATGAGAAGCAAAACAAACTTAATTTTATTTATTTATACATTTCTATTTTGGGAGTTTTCCCCTCTATGATCCTGCAGCAGTAAAATTAGTAAAACTGGCTTCAAACATTGTTCCAAAAGTGTTTCATATGATTTGCACTCACTGCCCTCAAAAACTAGCCTTACTGTTCATGTTCTCTCTCTCACATCCTTCCTGGGTCTCTCTCAAGAAAGGGACCAGCCTAGGATTCAGGATGGACTAGATTCTCCAGAAAGGCAACCTCTGTGTACTGCATGGGAGCCATATGGGTCATAGAAGCCTGTGCTGCTCCTGGAGGCCTCATCCTGGCGCATCATTGAGAAACAGGAGGGAAGAAGGTGACAGCAGGAGAAAGAAGCTGGCTATGAAGTTGCTTCACTACAATCCCTGGCATTTGGGAAGGTCCGTATTGTAACCAGCGACCTCCATCGGCCTGAGAAGAAGAGGGCTAGGAGGACCACTCTAAGGAGTGGTTAGGTTGGTGATAAATGTTCTAGGGACTCAGGCATGATCTTTATCTAACATACTGCTGTTCTGACACTGTCTCTTTATTACGGCTGTGCGAAGCTTCGGATGGTGATTTGACTGGGAGGAGATTCGGCCTGATTCAGTGGCCGAATCCAAATTGAAGCAGGGGACCAATTTAAAAGGTCCAAATCAATTCAAAGCTCTCCAAATCTTCAGAAAAGATTCAAAGAGCTTTGATGATTCAGGCAGTTCCCAGGGGCTGCAGCTGGGAGCTGCAGCCGACTCCAAGCTGGTAAGTACTAAGGCTGGGGAAGAGGACCATGTGGGGGACCGCTGCTAGCCCTCCCAACCCCTGCCTGCTTCCCCAGCCCCCTCCATGGCTGCCCCTCCCACCCCAGCTTGGTACTTTACAAAAAAGCCCCGGAGCTTACCGGGTGTTGCCGGGCAGAGGGGGCAACCCCTCTGCCCCCCACACAGGTGCCCCACCCAGGCCAGCTCTGGCCCTTTAAGAAAAAAGCCAACAAGAAAAGCCCCGGGACTCATTGCTCCTGCAGTGGCCTCAGGGACTCTTGCAGAGTCTCTCAAGTGGTGCAGGGCAGTAGGGGGCAGCAGGGATTGCCTCTTGTCCAGCAGGAGTAATGAGTCTGGAGTTTGGTTTTTTTCCGCTGAAGGGCTAAAAAGGGCTTAAAGGGCCAAAGCTGCCCTGGGCACGGCACCCAGGGGCTCGTGGCAGAGCCCCCCCATGCAGCATGGGATAGTGGGGAGCAGCGAGCATCGCCCCCTGCCCAACAGCACCCCCTGAGTCGGGGCTTTTTTTTTTAAACAACTGCCAGAAGCTGGGGCAGGCGGGGCAGCCATTGCCGGGCTGGGAGAGGGACAGTAGATGGGCCTGGCCTGGCTGATTTGGAGATTCCGCAGCAGCCAAATCTCCAAATAAGATTCAGCTGAATCGAAATCGGGACAGTGATTCGAATTGCCAAATTGAATTGTTGTCCCCCAAACTGGCCAAATCCAAAGCGAATACTAGCCACTTTGCACAGGCCTACTGTTTATGGAAAAGGGGGCAAGTAAACTGCTTTCTCTGAACCTATTTTTCTAATCCTTGCCTGCCTCCTTTCCTGTCTGAGCAAGATGGCTAAAGTGACGAACACCAACCTAGGTTTCTGAGATGATGCCTGCATCATTGCCCAGCAGTGAGCTGTCCCTTTCTATCCTGAATAATTCAACTCCATGCAAGGAACGGTGGCTGACGAATCTCCAGCCAGAATGGACTGAGAAGGAAACCATGCTGCCCACAGAGCTAGGTGAATTCCCAAGACGACATATGGGAAGGGGGTGAAAAGGGGGCATAGACCTTTTTTTGCTTTTGGCTTCCATTTCCTCTCTCTCCAGAGAAGAAAAGCTGGGGTGCAATTTTCACAGAAGGCAAACAGGGCCCTAGAAAGTACCTGGGGATTATGGTATTGAACCAAAGTGTTAGAAACTGGAAACAGAGTTTGGAATGTATCTCAAAGTATACATCTGTAGCAGGGAAGTCTCAAGGAGCCACCTGCCACTGTGAAGATGGACAGATTAGAGAAAAATGTCAGCATCAAGGTATTTTCCTGTTGTCAATGACTAACAAATCTGGCTCTGCCTCCAGGCAGCAAGTAGGCAGAAGTAAATGTGTCGTAAGAGCTTGGCTGACTTTACCATAATGAAGAATATGCCATATAAATCATAAGATTACAAGTCTTGCTGATGTATGCTAATTATACCAATCTATATTACAGTCCCTACTAAACCTCAGAAAACCTGAACCCTGCTATTTTTTTCTTATAAGGAATACTATGCCCATCTTCATTCTGTTAAGATTCCAGGGGCATAATCTGAACCAAGTGCATTTTATCAAGGCCACAGGCTTATGTAAAGAGTATATTGCTTACTCAGTAATCGCTAATGTTACTTTGCATTTTTTCAGTACTTCATAGTTTCAAGTAATGTACAAGTATTTACTAATGAGTAGTTAATTTGAGTTAACACAAAGCAAACATCATCATCCAAGGCAAATGTTAAGTCTTTTGTCCGTCTAGGAGATTCAGAAACTGAAAAGGGACAACAATTTGGAAGAACAGCCCATGAATTCTATCATCTAGGTTAAATTAAATTAAAAGAGGCAGATGTTAAAGTTATTTTACATATTTAGGCATCAATACTTACATAGAATTTGAGAAGAGCACCATCTGAGTTACAACACCAAGATCTTCTCCCTAGGTACTCATGAGCAGTATTAAGCAGCATGAGGGAAGAAGGCAGCATAGGGGCATCAGGACTCACTGGAAGAAAAGTTGGAAAATATATATCCTTAGTACTGTAAAAGCTGTGCTAACCGGCACTTTATTAGCCACAAACTCTATTAACTGGTATTCGAGGAATGCGGCAAAAGCGAAACTGGAAGTACCACTTCTGGGTTTCATCGCCACAAGCGGAGTTTTTCTTTGCTACTTCTTTGGCCCATGGCTCAGAGCAAAGCAGCCTGCGCGGAGCAAAGCAGCCTGCTCAGGGTCCCCCTTCTGTCAGCACACTGATGCCAGGGAGTGCATCAGATGGCGCACATCTGATTAACCAGAATATTTGATTAACTGGCATCCCCCATTTCCTGGGGGATGCCGGATAACAGAGCTTTTACTGTAGTACAAAATTGGGCTAAACATAATTAGTCACGTATCTCCTCACCCAACCTCACCATGTTCTGACACAGAAGCTTTGCCTCAGAATTATTTTCCTTTAATGGTAAAGACATGGATTAGAGAGTCCCCTGGTAATGTTGGGAGGAGACAGCAGGTGTGTGAAGCAGGGGGAAAGTACACTGGCTATTCCTGATTCACATGCCAAAAAGGGCAAAGAACATGGTTTTAACCTGTCACCATGAAAAATTAAACTATTACCTTCTTCACCCTGGTTCTGGAGCTGCTGCTGTTGCTGCTGACAGCAGAGGGATCGGAAGGCATCTTCCTCATGCTGAATGATTCTGTGCAGAATAATCCAGGGAAGCACTGAGGAAACATATGGCTCTTTGGGTTCTTCCTGGATAGCCATGCTGCAGTCTATAATCTAGAAAAGAAATACACATCACACATCATAAAAAGGATTCGTACCTGACTAGATGCCCCAGGCTGGTAGTGCATCAGACTCTTAAACAATCAGTCAAAATGTGATACTCTTTTCTTCTTATGCTGACTGGATATGGAACTACAACAAAGGAAGTCATTAAATCTCCAGCACTGCGTGGGATGAAAGAACAACTGGTTCCTCTTATGGGAGCCTCTAAGGTAACTGATATATAGTTAGAAAATTAATATCAAATTGAAGTCAAAGGACCAAAGATCGAGCAGAATTTGAGTATTTCTAACATAAGCACTGACTATAAAGAGATCCATTTAGTATCTAGAAAGAGAGAAGGTATCTGGTTAGATTTAAACTGGATAGATAACTGATCTTTAATCATGCTCAGATAAAATGAAAATCTTATAACCAACAAGTGCCAACTACGAATCATTACCAGACACTGTCCTAAAGAGAAACAAAGACTAATGCCAAGCAATAACACAGGCTAGAAGTAAGGAGGGAGGCTGTATGCAAGGGAGCCACAAACAAGTGCTACATTAGGGAAATACCAGTATCTTTTTCACATGAAAAATTGCCTATCATCCCAATAGAAGACAAGAGTCTAAAGAAAAAGAGATTTGTATACCATTCCCTCTAAATAGCTAGGTGAAATTACTTCACAAGAACAGATATTAGAAGAGTTCTACTAAAAGCTGGCTTTTTTAAAGACTGCCTAGTTACCCTATAATACCTAGCAAAAATGTGTGTAGAGAACCATGCAGCTTTGCAAATCTGTTCAACCCCTTCTTAGTCCAGCAGGTGGAGTAACTATTTACAAAATTATCTGTGATATAGGACAAAATTCATCTCAAGTCTTTAGAAGCACAAATTTTATGCCTTTTAAATAGCATATTTTGGAGACTTATGCTTTTGCTCCTCAAAAATAAACTAACTTTCAGAAATTCAGCACACTGCTACTTTATTCTGACAATTTTTACTTGCTAACATTTCAAGTATAAAAGAATCTCAGTATAGTTGGAAAAATGAGGGCCTAGGGAGGGACAGAAAATTCGACTTTTGAAAGTAATCAATGATGCCTATTACAATTCTCTGTGCCTCTGTTTCATCAGCTCTAAAATGGGAGTTATGATACTTACACGCTACTGTGAAGCAGAGTTTGAGATTGACAGATTAAAAGCTTTACATATCAGCTAAGTATTTTCATCAATAGTGAACAAAAAGAAAAGCAAATCAATTAACAATGAAATAAATAGTAAGCTAACATTTTGACAATTATTTCAAGGTACTTAAGAATGAGAAAATTCAGGCTCTACTAGAAACTCTGGGTGTCAGACTGTTGCATTTCTTTTTAATTCAGATTATAATTACTATTCAGTTACTTAACCATTATAACATCAAAACATTTTTAATATTATAGAAATCATTTCACACTAAAAGTAACTCTCCAATTTCCTTTTCCCCTATATTACCTTAATTCTTTCAGTCCTATTTAACTCAGGAGGGAGAGTTTCTTGCTGTACAGTACAATTTGTCTTATTAAAATATAAATCCTAACCGTACAACAGCCAGATTTACTAAAATAGCAATAGAGGTTTCTAAAATGCTTTTGAAAATTCTTCTCTTTTTTTAACATAACTATTTCCTAAATAAGAGTAAATAGATGTATGATACTATAATAAAGGCCTGCAATTTTTGTTTAACAGCCTTACTTTTAATACCACCTTAAGTAGTGACCACACAAGCATAATTGTGCATATTTGCTATAAAATATTAAGAGCAAAATTCTGCAAGTTGACAAGGTTCCTAGCTCCTACTGAAGTTAATGAGAGTTGAGGACATTCAGCACCTTTCAGGTGGCAATTAACAAGATCAGGGCTTTGAAAAAAGAATAGTACTAAAAGAAGCCTATAATTCTGCCACTTAAGGCTTTTAAATGAGAAGTGTGGAGGCAAGCAGCTTTCAAAATTTTGCAAGAATTTCTACAAAAAGACAAACTATCACCTATAATAGAAAGAAGTAAAGTAACCTTCATTTTACTTTGTTTTTTTCCTAAAAAGAAAGAAAACACTTATTTTATTGTCAAACTCCCAATTCTAACTAACTTAACTACTCTTCATAATTTTACAAAAATAAAAGATGAATAGGGGCCAGAGCTATTATAGCAACTAACAGAATTACCTGACTATACTTTGTTCCTCAAACTCAGAGGATTTTTCTTAATATTTCTGAGGAAAACAGCAGGAATATGTAGCTCCAAACTACAAACTGGACCCAGTCAACTAAACTTCAGCTAAACTAAAACTTTGCACTGTTGCTTCTACAAACAGAGTACCAGCCAATGGTACTGCTCCTTCAGCTACCTTATTGCTAGTCCTTATTACTATTACATTTATTTCTGCAGAGCTAGTTCTCAAAATTAGATGCCATGACTGATTCCAGAAGAGATGTTCAGCACATTTCTGAGATCCTTCAGTGAAAACTATGTGAAAGGAAGCAACCCAGACAGAAATTTAACCCAAGAGTGGTCCTGCAAGTGGGTGGCAATTCAGACAGCATCTGTATCATGTCTAACAGATCTGTAACACACAGCAGCTACTTGCTAGTGCAGGTGAAAAAGTTACCTGGATGAGGTTGGTTGTTAGCCGAATAAGGCTTGGTGTTACAGAAGATTCCTTCAGGATGTTGTTTTCGGATGACAATGAACGATCAATCCCTGTGAGCAGTTGCGTTACTGTAGCAACCCACTCTTCTTTAGCAGAGGCTACTGTCATGTTAATCATCTGCTGAATTGCTTCATTCAAGGCAACTTCTGAGCATTCAAAACACTGCTTATAATCCTTCAGTTTGAGCAAGGAATCCTAAGGAATGTTAACATGAAAAAAAAATATAGAAGAAAATGTGCTTAATTTGTTATATGGACTAAGGGAAATGGGAAACAGAGTGGGCAGCTAGCATATTTACTGAAATGCTGAGAGGAAGTTTCTCAATGTGACATTAAAAAGGGGCAAAACAAGTGGATCATGGAGGACTCGTGCTTCACAGCAATGAGTGGGTCTTATATAAGCAACACTGAATACTAAGCAATTATATGAACCTACTTTGCAAGGAACAGGCTGCAATAAGACTTTTGCCATATGCTGCAGCAGTTATTGTCCTGCCTCTTAAATAAAGCAAGCCAGTAAAAATATATCACACTGGTGATTCATATACCAATTTGCTATCAAGTTTCAGGTGCAGAAAATACATGGAAGTTAACAGACAAATACTCAAGGGCAACAAAAATGGGGAAGTACCAGAAGCCAGCCTCTACAACTGATTCAGCACATATATTTTCAGATTTATATTTAAGACTACTTACATATTCTGTTACTGGTCAGCCAGATTAAATGAAGCGCTACATCCCCAGCTGACAGAAACTAACACAGCTTTACCAAGTTTAACAGATCTAGGTGAATTTATATTACCTGAAGATGTTCTGCTTCGTAAAGTGAAAGAAATACTAACTCTTCAAATCTCTTCATCTTGCCCTTGGAAATAAAGCAGAGTTCTCAAGCCCACACAAAAGAACATTTTTAAAGAAACATAACAAACCTGCAGCAGGAGCAACTGTGCCGGTCTCTCTGGTATGGATATAACAAATTCCAGATGTTTAGCTCTGCCATATCCATTAAAGCACAAGGTTGGGCGAAGCAGATGCACCACTGCCTTGTAATCTCCTGCTTCATACAGTCGCTGGATTTCTTCTAAAGACTGGCATCTCTCCAGAGACTTCAGATTCTTGTCAATCTGCAAAAGTCACAGATGGTGCAATGCAACCTACAGTCACCTTCATGTTCCTCTGACTACTGGCATTACTTATGAACATAGCTAACTAGCTGTAGGATATGTAAAATCTACAGCAATGTAAAAAAGACAGAAACAAGAAAGAAAGACAAGATTCCAGACCAATATCACTTACCCCATTTTTTTAAAATCAATATTTCAAATTTTTGTACTAGAGCAGGGCTGCTCAACCTCCAGACTGTGGGCCAAATGAGGCCCATGGAAGCTTTGGTATCTGGTTCACAGTGCTCCCCACATGTCAGGAAATTTGACAGCAGGGGAGCAACAGCAATACTGCCATGCCTCCATGCTGCCAAAATCCCAAGCTCCACAGGGTTGGTTGGAGTCAGGCCACAACCCTCCCCTCCCCTCCCCCTGGCATAGCCAGATCGGTGCTGTGTCACACTCCCTTCCCTTTGTCTGATCGGGTTCAGGCCAGGCCAAGCCCCCTCCCCCTGTGCAACTGGTTCACCACTGCCCCACACTCCCTTCTCCATCCCACCCCACCCCACCCTGCAGGGGTATGCCATGCCCCCTTCCTACCATGCGGTTGGGCCACACCTCCTCCCCTGTGCAGCTGGATTGGGGACAAGCTATGCCCTCTTCCCCCCACCCACCCAAGTCGGGGCTGGGCCACATCCTCTTCAACAGGTAGAGTCAGATCATGCTCCCTCTTCCCTCAGGGCTGGATCATGCTCCTTCCCCCCCCCCATGCAGGGCCAGGTTCGGACCAGGTCAAACCTCCTTTCCCTGTGCACCTAAATCAAAGCTGGGCTGCCCCAGTCTGGGTGCAAGATTGGGTCCACCAGTTGGACTAAGCACAGCCCATCTGGCCTAGTACCTGAAAAGGTTTGAGCACACACTACTGTATTAGAGCTACGAATCTCACACTTCTCAAACTTTGAGAAAGCACAGTCAAAAGGTGGTCTTTAGCCTAAAGACAGCATTACATGGGAAGCCCTCCCACAGAGAGGAACGGGAATAGAATTTAAAGATATCCAATGTCAAGAATTCACTTGAACAACAGTGAAATTTAGTGCAAAGAATCCCTTCAAAACAAAGCTCTAGTCTAAGAACAGTAACTTTACATGCAGCAATTCTAGTAGCAATATTTCTCTATGCATCTACTTGGTAAAAGTAGACCATGCACGGACCAAAAATAAATCCAGACAGCATCTTACTGGAAAAGGGGAGGATAACCTTCAGAGTACTAACTAATTATGAAAACAATATTTGTTGGGTTTCCCCATTTTTGGGGAATGTGGTTTGAGATTTAAATATGCTGTAACTATGAGTACATGTTATTTTCTCATCAGGCCCAACTCTTCTGCATGGTTTCTGAACACTCACTACATGCAAAGCACATTCTCTGATAAAATAAATCATAGCATGGTTAGCTGTACCAGAAACAAATACATCCAAGAAGCAGAGAAACTTCTTATTTCCCCCCCTCTAAACTTCAGAGCCTCTTTAATAAGTTCCACAGAGAAGCACTGCTTATTATCCTGGGTACAGCACCATATTAATGTGGGTATATTGCCTCTGATTACAGAGCCAGTACCTGCAAGCCTGCATTGTATTGTGCAGACTTCTGCACACGACCTAATGCAATGGTTCTCAACCTTTTTGGACTTGAAAGACCTCTCACTGGACTCAAGGCACACCTCTATAACTTTTGTGAATTAAGTGGCACCCAATTTCAAAAACTAAAATTATAGATTACAGTGCTTATTTCCTTGAAGAAGGGCCTGGCAGTGGGAATAGGGGATTGTTCAGGCAGGGATACATGCCTGAGCCTTCACTCATCTGCCTAGTTTAGCTGATACCCAGCACCCAGGTTGAGAATCACTGACTTAGCACTTTCACTACTAGCTTGGGGTATCTATGCACAGCACTGCATTATGCTGTGCAAGTGTGTGCACACTTCTTTACAGAGGGAAATGAATTATGAATCAAATCAAGTGTACAAACAAAATCTCTAGTTTCATGCAACATTTTGTTCTTCCTTAGAAAAACCTCAAAAATACTTTAAGTTGCCTAGAATTCTCATTTTGGATAAACTTGAGACAGAAAAAGCCCACAAATAAACTGACCCCTACCTCTTCTAAAGAAACTACAGAATCAACGTGGAGATTAGGTAAACGGATTATGATGCTGCATTCATTGCCAGCTTTGGCTTGGACAGCAGTGGAGCTCTGTAGCATTTCAGTACAGATGTCATAATTCTCCAAAGCCTGCTCCATGTCACCCTGCGGAAACAGTAAAGATGAAATCATGCATTGCTCCCTGCAATAAGACTTTTCCAAAATGTTTAAGTAATTTTTAAAACCACTAATTCCATGTCTAGGCTGCTAGTGTAATTGAGACTATCATTATGCTTCAAATAAAATTCAAAATATCAACACAAAGAATAATCACCAATAAAGAAGGGTCTATTTAACTTGTAGTGAGACAAAGCAATTTTTGCAGCTTGGTTGTGGTACAAAAAGCCAATTTCACAGGCATTTCCCAGTGGCCCCATTCCTTGTCACTGATTGGCAGAGAGGTAGGTACCATATAATTTAATAGCTTATTCCATGGAAAGTAAATTATATTGTGTAATTTATCATATTATTATAATGCTAAATATTAAAATGTAAATCTAAATTTAAATATATTGTAACTATTTATGAACTGTAACTTATATCATCATTTATTATATGTAGTGTTCTACAAAAAGTTTAGAAATACACATTAATGCTAATGATAATAGAAACATTTTCACTTCACTGAATGGTGCCTTCACTTAGTCTACATCAGTAGCAGAAACTCTCAAACACATGATCTATGGCTGCAGCAATTGTCAGATTATCTTTGTATTGCAGTAAGCATTAGGACATTCTAAAACAGTGTATAGTATGAATAATACACTGTGGGGGGTTAGGTTAACTTTGTGGGGAAAAAAAAAAAAATCACAGCCAATGCAATATTTCCTGGCGATAATGGACAATGCCATTTTTCATGGTTTCCACAAAAACTGTGAAACCGTTAATTAAGTAGACCCCTACCAATAAACACATGATTGCATTTTAGCTTTTTAATTTTGATGAGGATCACTAGTAAACTAGATGGATAGGTGTTCAAATTGCCTAGCAGGAAAAGTGATTCATGTAAAATTAACCCTCCTTTTTTCTCAAAATTAAGAATACCAGATTAAATACTAGAGGCATGTATTTCACATGTGCGAACTAAAACAGAAGTGCAAGTAACATTATTGTATACGCCAAGCTATTTAAGACAAATTGTGCACAATACACTTTGTTTATCTTAAGCAAATTAGAGCTGTCCTAAAGAGAAAGGATCAGGAGAACAAAGGAGGCTGTGAACGAAGAAGATATAATTCACTAAAACTATAGCGAGCCAGCACTAGCTGTGCAGAAGTCTGTTCAGGAAAGGCTATCAAATCTATTTTTGACTGGACAACTTGGAATTGATTCCGATTCAAACTGTGTATTTATGTTTCACACTATTCTTCTACTTCTGTTTGTCTTTTGAAAGTAAAGTACCTAGATTTACTGTGGAAAAGGAGATTATACGTATGATATAACCATAAAAATTAATTATTCCAACGGAATAGGGCAGAGAGCACCAGTGAAGCTTTTTTTGTTACTGAGATTGAACACTAATGCTTGATTTTAAACTGAAAGGCTGCTGTTTTATGTTCAAATATAAAGAAAACTGCAAGACCTTTTAAGAGAGATTTTGTTTTTAAGTGAAAATAAAATTATGTTTTTCAGGAGGCATTTATCTCAATTCTGTAAGTTAATTAAACAGTTTAAGTAAGAAGGAGGTTTTATCCCTGCTGAATTCTCTATGGTGAATTTTCTTTATACAGCTTTTCATAGAGAGCTCATTAAAAGAGATTTTGAGATGTGAAAGGGTAATGAATTAGTCACTGACTATACATAAAATCCACTGACATACTACTTTATCAATGTAAGATTAGAATTTGATACTTTAGGACTAGGCCTGTGCAAAGCAGCTAGTATTTCCTTCAGATTTGGAGCCAGCCGACTCGAGGGACAGCTATTCAATTTGGTGATTTGAATCACTGCCCTGAATCAACTGGGCCAAATCTGATTCAGAGATTTGGCCGCCGCCAAAATCGGCCAACTCTCTGAATCAAACAGGCCCCATTGGAGGCTTTGAATTGATTCTGACCTTTTTATTGGTCTCCTTATTCAATTTGGCTGCCAACTCTTCTCCAAATCGAATCAGCAACTGAAGCTTTGCACATTCCCTACTTTAGATGTGCAATGTTAATTTGATACTTTACACAATTAATGTTAAATGATTTGTATTGTCTTTTTAAAAGTGATGCCTAGAACAAATGGTAAAATATGGGATCAAACAAACAGCTTCTCTACTTGAGAAACGGCTCTAGGATAATCTACTTGGGAATTTATACCAGAAATTACTTATTGTCAAAAGGATTGTGCTCCATTGAAAAAAAAAATAAAAAAGAAATCCATCACAACACAGAGAACCTGGCTCCACTTAATTTGTAGGTGCATCCAGGGAGCCAGACTGCCTGTGCTGTGGGGAGCATAGTGGTAGGGGAGAGGCTCTGTACATATGCCATGGGAAGGGGGCAGAAGGGGGTCAGGCTGCCTCTGCTACAGGGAGAGCGATGGGTAGCCCATGTGGTTCATGTGAGCAGGAGAGGGGGTAGCTGAGCTGCACACACTATGCAAGTGTGCAGGGGGGCAGCCTACATGGTGGGTAGACTGCACACTCACCCACACAGAAAGTGGCCCCTGGGTCTGTGGCCTGCACATCATGCAGCATCCATGGCATGTGGCCCCTGGTTGCCTAGAAGTCAGACAGCTCTGGCTTTGCTTAAAGGATGTTAAAAAGGTATAATAAAGATGTGGTACTTATCAAATTCAAACTGCAAACAAACCTGAAGTGCTAGGAAGCGCGCTTTCAGCCAATACACTCGAGCCACAAACTCCACCCATCCTTCCTCAAACAGATCTCGCTGGGAGGATGCAAATGATAGCTGCAACAGGTCTCCCAGGAAGTGAGTTCCTGGGAAATCAGGACCAAACTTTCCATTCACAGAGGTAGCAGGGCAATTCCGAGGGGAAACTGCAAATAAATTTTAGCTTAATGTTGCATTTTCCTTATGCAAAAGGTTCCACATACAGCAGGATCCAAAAAGGATTCAGATATACTCTAACACAAACAAGAATACTAACTGATGAGCAGATGTCCTCTTCTTTTTGTCCTCATCTTTTATTATGACTTGCATTTAGAGAAATAGTAGCCCAGAAATCTAATACATTCCTTGCAAAATGTCTTATTAGTTTAATTCAAATTGTAAGAAGAGCGTAGCTGAGAAATATCAAGCTCTTACCTGTAGTGCTTTTCCTTTTGGTCAAGAGCCATTGGTCAAGTTGCAGTTCCATGCAAGAAAGGCTCATCAACATCATATCCTATAGGGAAAGGATGAATAAAATTGGGGGAAAAAAAGAAATTCATGAGTAAAATTAAATGAAATCAGCAATGCACTTGAAAGACAACTTTCTAACATGTCTTCTATGTGATTTCTAATTTCCAAGATACTGCTATTATGGCTTTTTTCCTTCAAAAGGGAGGGGGGGAAAAAAAAAGGTTGCATTCTTCCTATAACATTTAGTAGGGCAAAAAAAAAAAAAAGGATCAGGGGAAAATATGCCATTTACAACTAGAGAGAGGTACAAAAAGTCTCTGTTCATAAAAAAAGAAAAGACTGAGCAGAAAAGAAGATAATAAGGGAGCAGTTTGGTCCTATCATGGAAAAGGGCACCATCCTCATTCACTATCAGATTGAAATAAAATCATAGTAAGTTGTTTCATCACTGATATCTTTGCTAGAACCTCTGAAAAAACATCATAAGGCCAAGATGAATAGCAGAGAAGTTGTAGAAATCAAGGAGACTGAGCACACATGCTCTTGTTTTGCCAGGTTATTAATACTGTTCAATAAAAGATGGAAGCATATTTAAAAAAATAACTGGATACGAGTTGCTAATGAAAACATTGGATATTCTAGTACAACTCACAGGGAGGTGGTTATATGGAGTAAAGAATAAAGATTTTTTTTTTTCATTTTTATGTGGTGGTTATAATTAGACCCCATGTGAAGAAAATGAAAACTCTTGGCATAGTTCAAATGATTCTGGAGCATTTGTTACCAAGAAGTTTCTTTGCATGTGCTGGTGTAGGTGTTTTCATATACATTGCAGCTATATAGCCACATTACTTACTATAGTTTAGCCTGTAGTTTATTTTTTGAAGCTGTTTTCTTTTGCAAAGTTTCTGATGCCCTAGGGCCCCCTCTAAACATGCAGATAAAAGCACAATGGGATCCAATTTATGATTTACACAATCGCGCCTCCTATATGCATAGCAGGTGTGATTGCGAGATCACAAATTAGATCCTATCACACCTTATTGCCATTGCAGGGGGAGCTTGATCTGGAGCTCCCCCTGCCCTGGCAAGAAGCAAGCTCCCAGACCTGGGAGCCCCCTCAACTGAGGGGTTCCCAACCACAGGGGCACCCCATGCACCCCTGTGGCTGGGAGATGCCGCTGCTATCAGTGATGCAGTTACAGGCTCCCAGCCCCAAGAATTTCATGCACCGCCAGGGCAGGAAGACTGCAGCCACACCCTATGACTGCTGGGACCTAGCTGAGTCCCAGCACCAGGAGGCACACTATCAGCACCCAGCATTCGCAGCTGCAGGTCTCTGGGTCTCTGTGTTGCTGGGACCCAGAGTCAGGAGCTGCTGGAGCCAAGAGTCCCCTCAGCTGCATAACTCCCAAGCCCTGGCTGGACATGGTGCACCCCTGTGGCTGGGAGCCACATGAGTTGATAGGGCACCCAGCCACAGGGGAGACCATGCTATATGTGCAAATTAGACCTTGATAGCAACCAACTATAAAATTAGACCTCAAAAATGTGTACTAACTTTATAGCTGGTTGGAACTTTTTATGGAGTGTAGCTGGTCTCCAATTAATTGCACAATATCTGTAACATGTAAAGGGGGCCTTAGTGAGAAAAGGAAAAGGAAATATATTTTCCTTCTACTGTGGTGTATAAATTTTCAACTATGAACTCCTTAATTTGCTAAGTCACTGCAAGTTTTATATATTCTATTTAGAAGAGGGATTTTTATACAACCCGTGCTCCTGAGACAAAGTGCATCTCTGGTACGGAATCTAAACCAGTGCCTCCCAACTGGTGTGCCATCGGCCATGTCCAGGTGTACTGTGGAATCTTGGGGGGGCATGGCTCCCAGGGGGGTGGGCAGATGGCTACAGGCAGTGATGCCACCACTGCCCCGTGCTATCATCACGTCCCGACCAGCCCCACGCCAATCCCCTCCCCCCCAGCATTCAACTACTCGCCACCCCCTCCCTCCCCTGCATTCAGCTGGTGCGTCGTGGGGGAGAAAAGGCCGGCTAACTGTGCCATGGCGCGGAAAAGGTTCAGAAACCACTGATCTAAACCACTAGAATGTTGAGTCATGCTCAGTTCTGTTGCACAGATCTAAAAAAAAGCAAAGCTCTTATTACAAATTCCACACTCGCCCACAGCAAAACATGAGGCTTTTTTGCGCCACAAGTGGAGCATCACCCAATATGCTCAGTAATACAATGACCAAAATCACCGTCAGATGCAGTGCACCCAAGTTTGTTAACAACTGAAATGAAGACTAGAATCCACGAATATCCCAGGGATAGGAAAAGTTAAGAAAAACATGAATAAAGTTGCTGTACTGAGGGTAGATGGCTTGGAGGCATACAAAGCAATATACTGGTAGTGATGAGGTAAAATAATAAGCACCAAACAAACAAACAAACAAACAAACAAACAAACAAACAAACAAACAAACAAACAAACAAACAAACAAACAAACAAACAAACAAACAAACAAACAAACAAACAAACAAACAAACAAACAAACAAACAAACAAAACTCATTACCTTGATGTGCTGGTTGCTACAGTCTCTCAACAATGGGTTGGGCAGATTACTACTGTGCTTTCTCCAGCTGTTGTAGATACTAAGGACAACTTCAGCCAATCCAAGTGGCCACTTGACCAGGAACTTCTGGCTGATTACTTTGAGGTATCTCATCATCAGTTCAAGTATACCACCATTGTTCAGGTTATCTAGAAGGAACTCATGAACATCCTGTTTCTCTAGATAGCAGAAGAGCACAAAGTTCACAAAATCAGTTTGTTGAATTCAACCATGTTCAAGTCACCATCTCAGTCTCAGAGATAATACTTTATGACATCCAGCACACATCCTGCAAAAGAGATACATTCGTACTCCTTAACGGATGTAGTTCTGAACAAATGTAGAATTAAGTAACTGTGTGCTAAACTGAGAAAATACACAGAGATCAGATAAACAATAATCAAGCAACCCACTGAAAACACAAAAATAGTTTCAGTTATTAATACAGTGAAGTTCAGCCAAATGATCTATTAACATAAACCCTTTGAAATGTGTTCCCTTGTTCACAGAAAAATAAAAACAATCATAGGGAAGTGTGGGAGGAGAAGCATAGAGGAAATAATCAGGAGAACGACTATGAAGTCCCTACCAGATTCCATGAATGTTGTAGAATCAAATGACATCCTATGTGGCCCAACATGCTGGAAGTTCTCTTCTTTGATCTCTGACTGCACTTCATAGCTACTGAAAGGATCATCTTCTTCCTCTGGATCCACTTTCCTCAGCCTAAGTAAGAAGTTGGGCGGGGGTGAGAGGGTGGGGTGGAAGAAAACAGGACCAAAATAAATAAATAAATAAATATTTGTGAAATTC